ACTGAGAAATCCTTGTCCCAAAATGACCTATTTTTGACCCTTATTTGGTGAATATCTCAGTCAAACGTTGTGGTATCGAGCTGAAAATTTTACCACAGCCTCCCCACATCAGCCCCAACATATGCTCCAAATTTCAGCTCATTTGAACGTACCTAGGCTGAGATCGATTTTTGAGGGGGGGGGGGGCTTCAGTTTTCTGGAATTCAGATTGTTTCTAATGCTTACAGCAGTAAAAAACACTTGCAAATAAATCTTATTGAATAGTTTTGATTCTTATTGTATTCATTTAGCCAGGAAATGTTTATATAAGAAGAGATCCAAAAACACCAACGAAGTCAAATGTACAAATTGTTTTACTTGATCATGGCTTATATGTAACAATTGCTCCAAAAGATCGAGAAGCTTTATGTCAATTATGGAAATCAATTATATTGAAAGATGAAGTTAAAATGAAACAGTATTCATTAGTACTTGGTGTACAAGGTAAGTCTATCATGTTCTCACACATATACAAAGCTCAACTGAAAGAAAATGATGACGATTGAATAACTAATAGGTTTTTTTCGATGTAGAGAAAGATTATTTAACATTTGCTACTGTCCTTTCTATGCGCCCAATTCATCGACCTATACATGATTTGGCAATATTACCTGAAATTTGGGATCGAATGTCACCTGATGAACAAATAGCAGCACGTGCACAAGGAAAAATTCGTCTTCCTGTAAGAAATTTCTTTTCCCGTAAAACGTTTTTTTTGTCTTATTTATTTTATCCTATTAGAGTGAAAAAGAATTTTTAAATATGAGTCCACAACAAAAAATGGCCATACGTAAAGATTTTATAGTTATTTTCAATGATATTCAAGATAGTGTCTTACGAACTCTTCATGATATGCCTCGACCATTATTAATGATATTAAGGTTAGTTATCGTCGTCATTTTCTTTTAAATAATTGTCTTTATGTATATGTGAGATTAAAAGAATTTGGATAATTTTGTTTTTTTTGAAATCATGTCTATAGAAAAGTATCATCGTTTGTTTGCGGAAATACTTATTATGCAATCATTACGTTCTCGACATGGTCGTGTATCATTTCGACAGAAAATAAAAAAAGAGGAAATGGATCGAATACGATTAAAAGCCCGAGAAAAAATGGATGAAGTGATTTATGTATTCAAGCAATTACCGGATAAGCTTATTCTTGTTCTCAGGTAGTTTTTATATCAGGAATGTAATATTTAATCTGTTGCGAACTAATAGATTCCATAAAAAAATAACTGAATATAAATATTTGATAAAATATTTTGTTGTTTTAGGAATTTAAATCAAATACGATCGACTATTCGGGATCATGGAAATCTAATTGATCGACATACTATTATGGCTCGAAGGTTGGTTGTTAAACATGTTCACTTATGACTGACTTCATGTCTTTTTTTTCGACTTCTATGAGCAATTGTTCCATAGTGATAGTATTAAGTTGAGATCAAAATTGTGTACTTTATTATAGAAATAAAATAGCAAATAAAACAATGTTCAGTACGAAAATTATTCAATTTTTAAATCACGGGATAGAATAGCTGGTGGTTTTTTGAGGAAAATATCAATACAAGATGTTCACGAATTTGAAATTTCAACTTATGATAATATGCTATCAATGATAGAGTTGAACATTTTTTTTTTCATAGAAGTTCACTAAATAATCGATATTTATTTTGATCTCAATTTATTGTAGGATACAAATATTAAATTTGTGCTTTTTTTTTAATCGAAATATATGAACTTTATTCATAATAAATGTTTCCTTTTTTTTGTAGTGCTATTTTGGGTGCTCGAAAATATGAGAGACCACAAAGATTATTCAAAGATCGTATCTATGCACGATTAGAACTGTTTATGTTTGATCTGATACTTTTGTAAGTTAATATTTTTATTTTGAAAAGCATTATTTCATTATTTATTTTCTTGTTTAGTAAAGATCGAATGGAACGATGGTTAAAATATAAATTGTTCAAAGTATTAGTCTTGTTTGGATATGTGTCAAAAGAAACTGAAGATATGATTGAAGAATTTCAATAAGCAGTTTCTTTTGGTTTATAATCATGATGATGTATACTGTTGTTGTTTTTGTTTTTTGATTATTTAGGAAACTTTATTTTTCTTTATTGTTATCCATAACCAAAAGTAAACAAGCAAGCTTTGTATTTTGTTTTTTATAATTGATATAGAAAAAAAAAATATTTCAAGTGAAAGAAAAAGAATGTTATATTTTTGATATAATAATTTATTGAAATGTGCCGAGAAAATAAAAGCAAGAAGTGATCGAATGCTAACTTTGATATCTAATCCAATCCATAGTTTTATATTGATTAAAAAAAGAAATCGTTATTAAACAGAATTTTGATAATTGAAAATAATCAATAATATTTATTTTGTCCTTTTGAATATTATATAAATCGAAGCCAACAAATTGTAAACGATTTTGTTCATATGAGAAAATTTCCTTGACATTATTGATATACATTTTTTTTAAATGCCAAATATAATCCTTGTACTTATCGGCTTTCATGTCGTTGACAAAGAAAATTCTGTTTTATATGAACAGTAGAATTAATTTGACATAATACTTTCTACCATTAATTTCTTTTTATTTATTGCAATAGTATGATTGCTTGATTTATTGTATTGATAGAAAATTTTTGATTTCGAATAATTTGATCTTTTTCTCTATAAATAATCTTAATAAAAATGTCTTATTATTCTTTGCCTGAATTCAAAAGAAAAACGTGATTAGATTATCATGCATATTAGTTTTTCTCATTGAAATAAGCTAAATGTTCTGCTTATTTTATTTGAAAAGGATATATAAAAGAATCCTTGATTTAAAATAGAATTTGTGCAACGTGATCTCTTGATTTTAGGATCAAATATAGAAAATATGAAACGATCAGTCATTTTCTTTGGTGCCATTTGCTGTTATTTGCTCACCTACATTCTATTTCTTTCTCTAAATATACGTGGGTCTCTATTGGTTTTATTACTCCATCGGTTAACTAAATGAAGAGGTAATATGCTTGCACACACAGAATTCTTTTTCATTACTGACTCTCTTTAAAAAAAATTGTTGTTTTTCTTCTCTCTCACTCTCTATTTTACTTTAACACTACTTATAACAGTATTTGCGAAGAAAAACATAATTCACATTCGTTTGATTTTTTCTTCTTTGTTCACATAAACCTAAGCGTAGGCTAATCCACGAACGTCACGAACATGGCTGACATTCTATTAATTATTCTTGCTATTTTCATTCCACCATTGGCTGTTTACTTACATCAAAAAGCCTGTAACAGTCAAGTGATAATCAATTTAGTTTTAACTATTTGTGGTTTTTGGATACTTGGTATAATTCACGCTTTTTGGCTTATTCTTCGTTAGATATTGGACTAACTATGCATACTAATATTATGGTTTTTTAAACTAATTTTATTTTATATGAATATATTGTGTATTTTCTTATTATACATTTTTAATGATCACAAAACAAGATTCTTTCTTCTTCTTCGTCTGTTTTTTTTTATGAAATTAGTTTGTTCGGGAAAAAAGAGAGAGAGAAAAAAAAAAGGGTTATTCATGAAGAAATTGCTATATGAAGAATTGACCTTCTGAAATAATGGATGAATATAGAAAACGCTTATTGTGGTCTATTGTAATGATATGTTTCATTATTTTCTTGTCATTAATTACATTTTTTATTGTATCGTTTGTGTCATCTCAATAGTTAGCAATAAATTATGTCATTTAGATTTTATATTAATCATCAAATATTTATAAAAAATTTCTATGTAGTGAGTTGTTTTTTTGTAGAACAAAACATAATTTTAAATTTTGCGTATTTTAAAAGCTTTTTAGTTCTTGCCAATCTTATAAAATGATCGAATAATATGATATACGGATATTTTTCGATGATAATTTTATATGACATTACAAAATGGTCTGCATACGTGATTATTATGAAACCTAGCCAATTGTTTCCGGACTACTCCTTTAAATTAAAAGCTATCATCTTACATTCATAGATTACTAGCTATTTAAAAATATTATACATAATATATTACTATATTAATATACAAAATCGTTTTCTTTTGCAGCTTAGTTTGCTTAATATCATAGCGAGTCTTTGAAGTGGTTTTATTCATAAGATAGTTCTCATCAACTTTGTTTGTGAGATATTGACAAAAAAACAGCAGAAACCTTCATAAAGGTGGATGTATTTTCATGAAATGAATATATAATTTCATCAATGCCCTCTCATTATTTCGAAAGGAAAAGAATCATGAAGTCTTTGGAATATTTTTATTAAATACAATTTGAACAAGACAACAACATAAATGTAAATATTTATTGAGAAAGTCTTTTAGAGATAGAATCACCAATTATTTTTATTTCTTCAATCGAAGTTGTATGAAATAAGATATTAAATAAATAAAATAAGTTTCTCTCTATTAAGTAAGTCAATCATTTCCACTACTGAAATCTAATTTTAATTGTATTTTTTGGCATTTTTGAAAACGTTAATATTTAGTGTTTGAGACTAATACGATATAATTTTTAAAATTTCAACCAATTGACTGAAGGGCATATTTGTTAATTGATCTAGCTATATGAAAAAAAAACGACAATCTCTCTTGAGATTTTGTTCATTTCATGACATGAGTATGATGCACTTATTATTTACTTAGTTCATGTCATCATCAAAATAAAAAAAGAAATATGTGATCGACAAGCATATTTTAATTCTCTATTGTTGTGTAATATATATAAAGTTATCAAGTAAATTTTAAATATTGTTTTCTTCCTCGATTGAAACTAACGAGAAAACCCACCTGATTAATAATCTTTGTTGGAGCTCATATTTTAATCATAGGGTAAATAAGCGTCCGGAAAGGAATTGATCCATTGGACTTTTCTTCTCGAGTTATGATCATTTTACTGCACTTTTAGTCTATTGTAAGATACAACCAACAAAATAACAACAAGGACTTTCGATCTGTAATGTTTTCTAACAATAACTCTCATAGTTTTTATTGTATCCTGAAAGCTTTAGCTCAACCGGATGATTTCTTCGTAAGATATTGTATTTCTAAAACCTCGCCTATTTTTGGTGGTTTTGTATGAAAGTAACGTTTTTTGTAAACGTCTTATCTCAAAATGTAAATATCCGTGTGAGATGAAACTGTCAGAATACTAAAATGGCCATAAGAGCTATTGTTAACGAGAATTACTAACAGAAACTCCTTGTTGCGATTTTTCCAGTGATATCTTGCAATTGGCTGAAAGTTCAGTAAAATGACCGTAACTCGAAAAAAACTTTTAATAGCAGGAGTTCTTTCACAATTTTTATCTACACTAGAAATTCTGCCTATGAGCAAAATATGAACTTAACCGAAGATTATCAATGGCATGGATTTCATCGTAAGAGCTTTCACTATATGTATTCGTTGTTATACACGAAAGACATGGATGCATTTTAAAAAGAAAATTTCCTAGAAAGTCAATAGGAAGAACATAATAGTCTTGAAAGACCTAAAAAAAGTTATGATATAAAGTATTGAAAGTATTGTCGAAGAAAGATTCATTTCTAATCGTGTATTAATATTTATAGAGGACTAGTTTTATATGAATAATATTTCGATCTCTCTATGTAACTTTGCACATGAAATGAAAGAATCGATCAATAAAATGATATAAAAAAAAACAATTTCGAATGTGTCTACCTCAAAGTTGGAATAATATTGTCATTAGTTATACAGTTATTTGATCGAAAATGTTAATGATATTTACCAATGCAGCTTCGAGTCGTGTATGTTGACATTTGTGTGGTCCTTGAAGAACAGATTTAATAAAATATTTATTGAAAAACACAACGTATAAAACTACAATGAAAACATGATTGGATACTGTTGATATAGTAAACATAATTATCAAGAATATTAGCAAATTGCTTGATAATGACATTCTCAGCACTTGGAACTATATATGCAGTATATCAATCACATAAATTCAGTATTGTTGTTGTTTGCAGTGTCTTCAAAAATGTCATTCTTGAGGTAAAATTAAAAATGTTACAACGTACTCAATTGTTGAAATATCATCTTCTCTTCTTGCGATGATATCTATTGATTGATGGAAACGTATGATTCTCATACTCGATGCTAAAAATAACGTATTTGATATAAATAGACTGGAAATTTTGTCTTATATTCTATCACAACCTTTTTCAAGATTATGGTTACTATAATTTTGAAAAAAAAGCTTTAAAATAAAAACTGGTGATGTCTTTGAATGTATTTTGAAAGAGCATATATAATTTCAAGTGGTAGACTACGTCTATGAAACGTTTATCTCCATGCCATCGGATGTAAAATTAAATTCTGAAAAAAAATGATGTGATTGTAATGTTGTATAATGAAAAGTTTCAGTTTGGTTTTAATTAAGAAACTACAATGATAAAGTTTTTCTCACTAAAAAGATTTTTTCTAAAACTTCGAGATGTATATTAAAAGATGCAGAATTTTATGGAGATTATTCTAGTATATTTGAAATGTCACAAGAGCGGTTATTAATAACGATTCATTAGTTATTCATTTCTTTAACTGTTGCAGTTTGACAACTGAATACGTGATAATCTTTTCAATTTTATGTCGTCAAAACTGCAGTTTCTCAATGCTACAGTAAGAAGCGGCTTTTAAATGTCAAATAAACTGTAATTTCGCCAATTTAGTAAAATACAAAAAAAACCGAAGCTTTTCTTACCATGATTGATAGCAATTTTGTCATAGATAGTCTAAATCGATAAATCTGACCTTCAATAATCGGCCATTCTTTACTTTTTTTCAAAAACCTAGGTAAGTTGCCGTTCAAGAGATTGTGTCGTATACATTTCAAAGTTGCATTTATTTCAAAACTATTTTACTCCAATAGAGCCATTGAAAAAATAATCAGAAAATGTCGTAAAATAGCATACGACATTCTCTTGTTCTTTACATATTCTTCTACACTTCGTTTATTTCGTACACAAAATAGGTAAAGAGAATAGACCATATCATAAGTACTTTGACCACGTGAAAACAAGATTTCTATCGTAAATATTGCAGTGTGTAACAGTATCCGAGATCTGTCGAGACCAAAACGACAAATATCGTGATATAGGAAACTGGTGGCAATCTTTGTATACAATACTGCAGTTACAAGTAAGCTCGCGACGGGTTAATTGCTGCTTCCCTCAAAAATGTTTACTGTAAATAAAGATTGATGACTAGATGAACTATATGTTGGGTTTAAGTTATGTGCATCACAGCTAGCATTTTGAACTGGTGCCCTACTATCGCCTGTTAAACTTTACAGTCGTATCCGCATTCAAGTTTTGGAACCTGCACTTGGCCTAATGCTTTTTATTTAGTCCAAATCCAAAAATCTTATTCGTCTATTCATGTTAGATTTAACTATTTTATTCGATTATGATGGTTCGATAAAGAAACTGAAATTTACATAAAGTACAGAATATATAACAAAATGATATCCAGAAGAACCTGTTAGTTTTAAAGTAATATCAGAATTCATTATAGTGACATTCAATATCAGCAAACTTTTCAAAATTTGTAGAGATTATTCAATCAGCATAGTACTATGAAATTGCACAAGAATAATCTATTTTCGTCAGTCACGTTTTTTGTCAATTTCAATATCGTCGAATAGAGTGCTGCACGGGTGCACTTTTTTTCACCCGAAACCGGACCGGAGCTTTTTTCCGTACCCGTGTCCGAACCGACCCGACAACTTCGTACCCGGACCCAAACCGGACCCGAATAACTTCACCCGGTACCCGACCGGCAGCCATTTATAAGTATAACACACCCGACTACTATTATCACGTACAATCAATTT